CTCCTGCCTTTCATGGACTTCCAGCGACAGGGACTCAGTACCTGGCACATTGCCCTGCCAAGTTGATGACTGCAGAGGAAATGGAGCCAGCTCTGCCCCGCCCCCAGGACAGAATTTAGAGACCTGAGCTGAGTCTTCTACGACCTCCTGAATCCTTCCGCGCTGAACCATCCGCCCACCAGGCCCTGCCCTTCTTTCAGGCTGCTCCTGGCTTTGTGGCAGGGAGAAAGCTTGGCTCTCCCATGTGGGGTCTCTGCACGCTGTCACTTGGTTTAGGCTGCTTGCCTGGGCCTGGGACTAAAGGAAAGCTAATTGGTCCAAGTGGGCATTGGACATGGCAAAGCTGAGCAAATGGGTCCAGCCTGACAGTCCCAGTGAGGAGTCAGCCCTTGGAAACCACGTCTGCTGTCCCCAAAGCCCCAGCTCGTTCTGTCTTAGGGACTTCACCTTTAGCTCCTGCTGAGGCCCTGGGAGGGTGCCTGAGTCCAGCTCCTCTGGGCCCTGGCTCAGCTCAGCCCCCTCCGCTCCTCTTTCCAGAGGCTGGAGCTGGGAGGTGTCTGTGGGTGGGGAGATACCTGGGGCTGAGGGCTGCACTGATGGGGTATGGGCTTCTCTAGCCTGGGTACCCGGTGAACATCTGGGTCTCACTGTTACATGGTGATGGGAAACCCCATGCCTCCAGCCCGGGGTCTGGCTCTGATAAGGCCCAAGGTCACCATCAGGAGGGGCTTCCTGTCTTAAGCTGCCTCCACCCACCTCACCACAGGGTGTCTGTGTCACTTCAGGGCTGTCCACCTACCGCAGAAAATGCCACGTTTGCTGACAGAGAAAAGATACTTTTCCAGTTTGGGCTCACAGCCCAGCTTCTCCAGACGTCCATAGCAGCAGTCGTGGGCGTGGCAGCACCTGTAAGAGTCATGGTCAACCTGGGGGGACCTGTGAGCCAGGCTGGGTTGGACCAGGGGCTGCTCGGGGGCCCAGAGCCCAAAGCGGCCCAGAGGAGAGATCAGCCTGAATTTTCCAGGCGCACCCCCTTCTCCCAGGATCCTCCCAGGATCCCCCAGCTCTTCCATCCCCATGGAGGTCCCCCTGCAGGCTGCCTCCTCACCAGTCAGTCTCGTCCACCGGCCAGTGGGAGCCGCCGACGCCGCAGTAACAGCCATAGTCGTTGTACTGCAGGGCAGACTTGCCTGTCATCTTCTCGATCATCACCCCGAACTGGACCAGGTTCCCTGTGACCAGGGCCACTGTGGAGAGGGAGAGGG